AATTATAACTAACTGAATTGCTGAACTTGAATATGAATCTGATTATTTATTAACAAAGGCTAGCTTAAACTAAAAGCTAGTATTTCCTTTATTAATAAACTCGGGGTGTTATAATTATTATTATTATTATTATTATTATTATTATTATTATTACAGTACCCGTGCGATGCACAGGGCTTTATTATTTCTGCGCATTTTAAAAAGAAATTTTGAATTAAAATTCAAATTATATAATAAAGAAAATATCATGGCATTACTAATTACATAATCTAATGTAAAGAAAATCTGTATAATATCGATCACTTCCTTACCAAATGATATGTACCCCTTACAAAAATTTTGAATCTCGGGATCAACACCGATGAGTAGGGTCACAACATTTGATGTGGCTATTCGAACTCCACCCAAGTAAAAAATATATTGGATTAGCCGATCAAAGCAAAAAAATGTCGAGTTATTTATTGAGTTTAATTATATTAAAATTAATGAAATACCTCCCCACTTCTTCGCATAGTACATTTTCATGATGAGGACAAAATGTTCTTCTTGATTTTGGTTCTTGTCAATATATTGGTCCCAAAGCGTAGAGTACTTCTTCATGTTTTCCTTACACATTGTCGAAAAAAATTTAAAAGGCATTTTGAATATATAACTACCAATTAATATATATACTGATAGATCAACAATATGAATATATAATGTTAATGATTATGATTCTAAGTCCATAAGAGATAAGACGATTATTTGGATAGGAACTCACTTGACAATCTTCATTTGAATAGGTTGTATAGAAACAACCAATCCAATAACATCTACAAAAATATAAGACAATTCATCATATTAAATTGTCATAATAGATTTATTTATTTTGAATTAAATATATAAAATTTCGAAATAAAATTAAACGAAAATTTAGAACGTATAAAACAACATGAATTCGTCCTTCCACTTGTGAAACTTAGTTTGGCCGTTAATAATGATCCTCCAACTGCAAATTGTCGATATGTAGATGCCAATATTGCTTTCCACTTGGTAGTTTTTAAATATATATGATATAGCCACACTGTCGTATAACGGCTCAATACCATCACGGTTCAAAGATTACCGAGTCGACTTACGCAAAGTCGACTCTGTCCGCAGATTCTTTATGATATCTCCGGTTAAGGGTCCAGGCATTTCTCTCAGTCGACTTCCACATGTCGACTAGCAAAAGTCGATCCCCTCCGGGAAGACGGTCAAGCGCGTCAGGGTCTACTGACGATTGAAGATGACCCAGTCGACTCGAGTTGGTATCCCCAGCCGACTGAGGAAGTCTCGAGGCTCGTAGATCTCGGCGACTCCAGTACACTTCAACATGCCATAGGAATGTTGTCAAGGATAAGAAGGAGGCTACTAAGGATAAGAAGGAATCTAAAT